CGGTGGGACGCCGACGCGACGACCGCCGACGCGACGACCGACGACGCGCGCGCGCGCGGGCGACGACGACGCGCGCGGGACGATCGAGCGCGGGACGACGGTCGGGAAAGACCTCTCGACGTTCGCGAAGAAGACGGCGACGACGTTCGCGCCGAGACAGAGCGGTGCGGTGAAGAAGAATCCGGCGTACAAGGGGAGCGCGCTGTACGCGATCTTCGAGGCGCAGGCGTACGCGGCGGTCGCGGTGGGTGGTTTGTTGGCGTTTAACGTGATATATCCGAGCGATGAACCGTCGATCGCGCGATTGATGGGGATGTGGAGCGTGTGGATGTTCACCGTGCCGAGTTTGCGAGCGAGGGATTGCTCGGCGAGGGAGAAGGACGCGTTGAACCTGCTCTTCGTCGCCATTCCGTTGGTAAACGTGATCATTCCCTTCTTCTGGAAGTCGTTCGCGGGGGTGTTCACCGCGGATGTGGCGCTCATGGTGGCGGTGTACGCGCAGAAGGGGATGTTCTCGGACGAGGCGAAGGCGGAGGACGCGGCGCTCTCGGCGGCGGCGGCGGCGCCCGCCGTCGACGAATCCGCCGAGTGATCGACTTCGTCGGTTCGCCACGCGCGCATCGCCGTGGGAACACCGCCGCGCTCGCTACGATTTGTGACTATTTTTACACACTAATGCTCCGTCGCCGTCGACGCGCGCGAGACGAGGTCTGGTCTCACTCGGCGCCGAACGTCTGATATCCGCGAAGCTTCCTCAACTCGCCCCTCGCGCACGTCCGATACGCCCGTCCGCGCTCGACGTCCACCTCCCCCTCCTCCAACGGATCGCTCCCGTACACCTCGTCGTAACACATCGCGCTCGCGCACCGAAGCGCACAATTTTCCAAGCGCGACGGATCGCTCGCGTCGACGCACTCGGACCGCGCCGTGGACTCCCGCGCGCACTCCTCTCGCCTCACCGCGAGCTCTCGATCGAGCGAGGACGTCCGCAACGCTCGCTCGCGTCGTTTTCGATGTCCCGGCGCCGCCTGCGTCGACGCACGCGCGCGCGCGCGTCAGTCTCGTCGCGCGTTTCCCTCGATGTCGCATCTTCATCGACCCATCGATCCCGTCGCCGCGCGCGTCTCAACGAACCTCCGCGCCGGTGCGCGCGAGCACGAGGGCGAGCGCGATGACCGCCATCGATCGACGCCGCGATCGCGCGCTCGGTCGCGCCATGGCGCGCGCGAGGGGCGAAGAGATGGCGTCGCGCCAACCAACCGTCGCGTCCTCGTCACTTCGCGCGACCTCGCGATGGCGCTCGCCCTCGCCCTCGTCGCCGCGCTCGGGCTCGGACGGTCCATCGCGCGTCGGGAGACGCCGGGAGACGTCGCGCGAGGCCGTGACGGGGTGGACGACGCCGCGGACGCCCTCGTTTTAGCGCTCGGGGTGTCGGAATTCGCACGCGAGCGCGACGACGCGGGCGACGACGGCGCGCGACGCGCTCGAACGGACGCGACGTGGGACCCGAGACGTCGGGCGTGGGTCCCGGACGCGCCCGCGAGCGCGTCGGGGGAGAGGGATGGGGACGCGACGAAGAGGGCGGGAGACGCGCGGGATTTCGAGGGCGACGCGGCGACGGCGCGCGCGTCCGCCGCGGCGCAGTGTCGATTCTGTTTTGAAGAGAGCGGTGATTTGGTGAGTCCGTGCGCGTGCTCGGGAACGGCGGCGTACGTGCACGTGGGGTGCTTGCGGCGGTGGCAGCGGGTGTCGTTGCAGACGCACGGGTGCGAGGAGTACGCGTGTCGCGTGTGCGGGGAGACGTTTTCGTTGCCAAAGGCGCCGCTGCCGCAGAGAATCGCGCAGTGGTTCTCGCCGCGCGCGGATGATCGCGTGTCGCAGTACGGGAAGGTTTGGTTACAGATGATGATCAACACCGCGCTTCCGGGGGCCGACACCGAGGCGTTGGCGAGACCGGGACAGGTGGCGAGACTGTTATCGGCGGCGGAGGCGCGCATCTGGGCGAAACGAGAGATTCGCAAGGGAAACGCCCTCCTTCGCTCCCTGTCGAGACTGTTGATCGCGTGCGAGTGGACGCACGGCACGCTGGTTCTGCTCTACGCCGCGACGGGGATGGGCGGAATCGGTCTGGACATCGTCTCGCACGCCGCCATCGCGATGGCGACCGAGCAGGCGCCGGGAGCTAATTTGATCCCGCTCAGAGCGATGAGTCACGCGTTGATCGGCGTCTGCAACGGCCCGCTCGAGTCTCTCGTGAGATTGACCCAGCCTCTCCATCGCTTGGTACACTTTTTCACGCTCTATCCGAGCTTCTCGCTCGCGTACGGCGCTCCCGAGAACCGAGAGCGCAGACGCGGTCGTCGACCGCGCGTCCACTTCGACTTCTCCGTCGGCGCCCACGTCCCGCTCGGTTAGTGAACCCTACAATTTTCTTTGTGTTGTACAGTATTACATCCCGGTCCATCACTCACGCCATCGCTGACGCGCCGAGAAACGCGCGTCTCGCCGCGCGCGACTCCTCCGTCTCGTCCCGCCACGTTCTTCGCCGTCCCTCGTCCTCGCACCCCACGACGACCGCGTCCACGATCGTCCACCTCCCACTCTCGCGCACGAGTCTTCCTCGCACGCACGCGTACGCGCCGTGCCGCGCGACGTCCACCGCGCCCGTCTTTCGCCTCGCGCGCACCTCGACGCCGTCATCCTCCACCCAACACGTCGTCCCGTCGTCCCTCGCGATCGTTCCTTGGGTCCACACGACGTCGCACGCGATGCCGTCGACCTCGGGCGCGTTCGTCGTCGACGCGCGGACGTCGAACGCGATCGCGCGCGTGGAGAGCTTGGCGCACGCCATGACGTGAGGCGTCGCGTGATTCATCGTCGTGACGCGATTCCACGGACGATGCCGCGTGCGAGCGCGCACGGACGACGGCGGGGGGTGAAGGGGGCGTACGACGACGCCGTGGGGGGCGCGACGACGTCCGGGACCGCGGTGAGCGTGGACGACGTCGTGAAACTGGGCACGCTGTTGATGTTGGCGAAAACCGTGAACGATTGGTACGCGCACACGTACGGATTGAACCCGTTGGGGCGGGCGAGGGCGTTCTTGGGACGATGTTGGAGAGATCTACGCGGCGGGGGGGGGCGCGGGAGCGGAGGGAAGAGGGTGAGCGGGAAAGCGTTCAAAGGGAAGGGGCGACGCGTCGGGAAAAAGTGAACGACGCGCCGAAAGGGGTTCGTTTGATCGATCGATGCACGAACGACGGCGCGTGTTGAGTTGTAATTTTCGGCTACTTTTACAGTCTTCTATTCAGCAGTGAGAGGATGAATCGCGATCGACTTAGGCGCTCTGGTACGGAACCGTAATGGTCGGGTTGTCCGCCTTGAGGTAGAGCTCGCTCTTCGCCTTGAGCATGATTTGCTCAAACTCATCCCCATCGATGTTCTCCTTCTCCATGAGTACCTCCGCAACGGCGTGAAGGACCGCGATGTTTTCTTGAACCAAGTCCTTGGCGCGTCGGTACGCCGCGGTAACGAGAATCTTGACTTCTTCATCGACGATGCCCGCAGTGGTAGCAGAGTAATCGGCGGCGCGGCCGGCGTCGTTGCCAAGGAAAGATTGGCCACCTCCCGTCTTGATCGCGATTTGACCGATGCGCTTAGAGAAACCCATTTGCTCGACCATCATACGTGCGGTACGGGTCACTTGCTGGAAGCACCGGTGGTGACATCCTCGGCGCCGAAGATGAGTTCCTCGGCGACGCGGCCACCCATGGCGACAGCCATTTGGTTCTCCAGGTACGTGCGAGAGTAGAGGCCGGACTCGAGACGCTCTTCGCTCGGGGCGAAGAAGGTCAAGCCACCGGCATTACCACGTGGGACGATGGAGATTTTGGTCACGGGATCGTAATCCGGCATGAGCGCGCCCACGAGGGCGTGGCCAGCCTCGTGGTACGCCACGAGTCGCTTCTTCTTCTCAGACATGACCGCACCTTCTCTGGCGGCACCAGCGATGATGCGCTCGAGCGCATCGGCAATCTCTTCCTTGGAGATCTCCGTCAAACCACGCCGAGCGGCGAGAATCGCGGATTCGTTCATGAGGTTCTCCAAGTCAGCGCCGGTGAAGCCCGGGGTTCGGCGCGATATCTTGTCGAAGTCGACATCCTTGGCGAGCGTCTTGCCGCGGGCGTGCACCTTGAGGATGCGGATACGGCCGGCGACATCCGGTCGGTCGACGGTGACTTGACGGTCGAAACGGCCCGGGCGAAGAAGAGCACTATCGAGAACGTCCGGTCGGTTCGTGGCAGCCAGGACGATGACGCCAGTGTTGCCTTCGAACCCGTCCATCTCGGTGAGGAGCTGGTTAATAGTTTGCTCACGCTCATCGTTGCCGCCACCCATGCCGGAACCGCGCTGACGACCAACGGCATCGATTTCATCGATGAAGATGATGCACGGAGCCTTTGCCTTGGCTTTTTCGAACAAATCGCGAACGCGCGACGCACCGACACCGACAAAGAGTTCGACGAACTCGGAAGCGGCGCACGAGAAGAACGGCACACCTGCTTCACCGGCGACCGCCTTGGCGATGAGCGTCTTACCCGTACCCGGAGGTCCGACCAAGAGGCAACCCTTCGGGATCTTGGCGCCGAGCGCCGTGTACTTGTCCGGGTTCTTCAAGAAGTCGACGACTTCTTGCAATTCCAACTTGGCGCCCTCGACGCCGGCGACGTCGGCGAAGGTAACGCCGGTTTCCGGGACTTCTTGGAACTTGGACTTGGACTTTCCGAAGTCCATCGGGCCACCGCCCATACCACCCATACCGCCCATGCCACCCTCGCCGCCTTGCGCGCGGCGGAACAGGAAAAACAAGCCACCAAAGGCGACGAGCGGGAACAAGAGGTTGCCGATCAAGGACGCAACGTTACCCTGTTGTTCACCCTCGCTGACGGAGATGTCGACGCCATTCTTGGCCAAGATGTCAACGAGATCCGGGTCATTCGGTAAGATCACGGTGGCGCGAGCGCCGTTCACCGCGGTCAGTTGAAGCGCGGAGCCATCCTTGGAGAAGCGCACGCGCTCAACCTTGCCGCTCGTCACGGCTCTGATGAACTCGCTGTAACGCCAGTTGATGCCCTCCGGCAAGCCGTCCGCGTTCGTCACCGCCGGCGCCTCTTGCGATTGAGACGCGAAAATAGAGTTGCTCTCGCCCCGCTGTTCCGCCACCGCCTGGGTGGGTTCCGGGGCGGGCGCGAAGTCAGCCTTAGCCGCGCCCGCGCTCGCGAGCGTCGCGACCGCCATGAGCGTCGCCGCGACCGTGGAGTCCGCGACCTCAGCCTGTTTCGACGGAAAGAAATAAATACCACGTCAGTCACCCGCGCACCGATCTCCACACCGACGCTCGCGTCTCGCCCGAACGACCGCTCCGACGACCCCACTCGAGGTTCGGCTGCCGACGACGTCACGCGCTCGTCATCCACCCTCCCCCCCCCCACCGACCGCGCGCGCCCCTGAGCGCGCGCCCGGCGACGCGGACGAATCCCTTCGTACCCCTCACATCCCCTAACACGTCCCCATCGCTCGCGTCGTCGGCATCACGACCGAGATCGCGTCTCATCCGTCCCACGCCCGTCGTCGCTCGCGTCGGCATCGCGCGACCGTGGACGCACCTCTCGCGCCCCCGCGCGCGCGCGCGTCGGGGTTCGCGTGGAAACATTTTTCGTCGCGCGCGCGGTCGCTCGCGCGCGCGTCATCGCGCTCGCGCGCATCGTCATCGCGGTCGTCGACCCCATCGCGTCGTCGTGTGCGGGGCGCGCCCGTCGTGCCCTCGCGTCGACGTCGTCGCGCCCGCGAGGGGGTCGTCGACGAGTCGGGACTCAGAAATGGCGTCGTCGGCATCGATGACGTCACGCGTGTCGGCGTGTCGGGATGCACGTCCTGGGTCGTGACTCGTGGGTGTCACGCGATGGGTCATGACTCATCGGGCGAGTGACACCGGGCCATCGCGCCCGTCGCGCCCGTCGCGGCGGCCGCGCCCGTCGAAGGGCGCCGCGCGCGACGCGGTCGAACGCGCGCGCGCGCGCGAGGGCGATCGATGTCCGACGCGCGCGCGCGCGGCGACGGGCGAGGCCGGCGGAGGGAGGATGAGGATGATTTCGAGGACGAGCACTCCGAGGACGATCGAGAGGAGGCGGACGAGCGCGTCGAGGACGATCGAGAGGACGATGCGCGGGATCCGAGGGAGTACGTGTCGCCGGCGATGATTTTGCGGCGCGTGCGCGAGCGCTTGGCGATGGCGGATGCGCGCGTGACGACGAATGAAAGAGGAGAGTTTGAGGAGCGCGACGAGCGCGCGGACGTCGGGCCGAGCGCGATCGTGCGAGAAAACATGAGAGTGTTGGATGCGGAATTGCGGAGAATAGTGAATTCGTTGAAGACGTCGCCGCAGGAGGACGCGAAGCGGCAGACGCTGATGAATAAGTTCAAGTCGATGATCGGCTCTCGGTTTGAGGGCGTGCGCGTGGCGCCGTTCGGGTCATACGTGAGCGCGTTTCACTCCGCGGGGAGCGATATCGACATTTCGCTGCAGATAGATAAGGATGGTCCGTGGTACGACGAGAAAGAGGAGGCGCAGGCTCGAAGATCGCAGCGAGGGGGCGTTCGGGCGAGGAGACAGCAGCGACAGGGCCGAACCAAGCGGGCGCAGCTTCTACGCAAGGTCGCGTCCGAGCTGCGCTACAGAAACTACAGAGACGTGCAGCTCATCTCGAAAGCTCGAGTACCGTTGATCAAGTTTAAGGATCCGCACACTGGCGTCGCGTGTGACGTGTGCATCGAGAACGACGGCGTGTACAAGAGCGCGGTGTTGGGCGTCATCGCGGACATCGATCAGAGGTATCGAGACTTGGTCTTCTTGATCAAGCTCTGGGCCAAGCACTACGATGTCAACAACGCCCTGGAAGGTTCGTTCAACTCTTACTCGCTGTGCTTGCTCGTGATGCACCACTTGCAGCGAAGACGAGTGCCCGTTTTGCCGCCGACTATGCAGCTCACTCTGCCTCGGTGGGAGCTAGTGCAGTCGGAGGAGAAGGAGCTTGACGAGCACGTCTCGTGTGAAGACGATGAATTTGACACGTGGAAGGTTAGCAAGGCCAGAGTCGTGAGCGACGCCTCTCGGGACATTGCGGCAGTCAAATACAGGGCGGACAAGTTGTTCGTCGGATTCGGAAAGCACAACACAGAAACATTAGCTGAGCTCTTCGTGAGCTTTTTTGCGCAGCTGTGCGCTGTCAAGGGATTTTTTAGAAATGCCCTGAATGCGTCGACTTATCACGGTCGTTTCATCGTGGGTAGCTCGTGGAATGCGTTCAAGTATCCGTTGGGTGTGGAGGATCCTTTCGCAGCAGGGGATAACGTCGCGAGAGCGGTACAGATGCGCACACGAGATTACGTTTTAGGCGCTTTTCCGGCGGCGTGCGCGGAATTGCATCGCATACTCCACGCGTCAGACGAGACGCAATTCAAGCAATCGTTGCTCAAGCTGCTCGGAAATGGGATTCGGCCGGCGCTGGGTTTGCCGGCGCAGAGTGCGCAGAGGGTGCCCCCGACGCCGCCCGGTATGCCAGCGGCGCCAGGTGTGGACGCGCAGCAACAACAGCAACTGCTGATGAATGCGATGCAAGCTCTCAACAAGGGCCACGCGGGCGCGGAAGAACTCATTGCGATGTTGGCTCGTCAAGGAATTCGCCCTGGTCCGCCGTTGGCGGCGGGCGAACCTCAACAGTTCGTCTCTGAGCAGATTCTCAAGGGTCGACAGGAAGCTTTGTTGCGAGAAGCGGAAGAGCGTCACGCCGTGCGGCTCCCCGTGGCGAGTCTCTTTGGGCAGCAACCGCAATCGCAACCGCAACTGCAGCAACCGCAACTGCAGCAGCAACAACTGCGGCCCGGACTAAATCTACCGCCCGGTTTCGGCCCGAAAACAGCCACCGGCACAGGGGTCTCGATGCAAATGCCGTCGTTTGGCACGCCGATGAGCGGCGCACCACCAACCTCAAGTGGTGGTCTCGGCGGTGGCTTGGGCGGCGGCGTGTTCTCATCCATCGCCTCCGGCGGCGGCGGTTTATTCTTCAACGGCCCCACCAGATCGCCCGTTCCGACGGGCGTGGACGAAATTTCGCAGCACTTCGCCGCGGGCATGTCCATGATGGGCGGCCTCGTCCACCCTCCGGCGCAATCGCAGCCGCCGCCGCAACCGTCGCTCGAGTTTCCGCCGCCGAGAACCTCCGTCGCGCCTCCGGACGCGCGAGCTCAAAATTCGCGCCCAGAGCTCCTTCGCACCACGAGCGGCGCCGCGATCCCTAAACCGCGAACGTCCCGTTAGTCTTCCGTTGTATCTGACGCGCGTGCAGCTGTCGTTGCGCAGTTTACATTTGCAACACTCCGAATTCCATCAATTCCATCAAACGCCGACGCCAACGACGACGATGGCTGACGATGATTTCGACGAGGAACTCCTCGCCGAACTCGGATTGGGCGACGACGCGGCCGAGAAGGTGCGCGAGACGTATTCGCGCTTATTCGGCGGCGGCGCGCCGCGCGGCGACGGCAAACGCGTGCTGGATGCCGCCACGACGGCGAGCGCGTTAGCCGCGACGCGAGGCTTGAACCGCGACGTTCAAGAGCAGATTCTCGAGAGCGCGCGCGCGGACATCGTCGTCGGCGCCGATCGGTGCGCGAATATGTCGTGCGCGAAGGCTGGGGAGAAGAGGTGCGCGCGGTGTAGGGCGGTGCGGTATTGTTCAAAGGAGTGTCAGCACGCGGATTGGAAGCGACACAAGACGTCGTGCGCGGCTATCGATGGTTCGACAGAGGCGACGGGGCGACGCGCGGGAGCGCCGGCGTTTCAAACGGCGCAATTGTCAGCGCAATCGATGTTGGATACCTTTATGGCGGCTGAAACTGGCGGGTGGTACGGTGGCGTTTCGCGCGAGCGCGTGTACGAGCGCCTGGTGGTGTCGTTTTGCTTGCGCGTCGCGGACGAACATACATTTGCGGGGAACGTCGTGGGTGTCATTCGCGCCTCGTTCGCAGGTGAAGATTTGGATGATCCAGCGACCACGACTGTTATGGAAGAGTTCCGCAAATATGTCGAGTGCGGAAAGACTAAAGGCTATTTACCCAAGGACTGGTCGGCTGACGACGACGTTAAAGTGTGCGAATTCGCCGCGAGGCGACATGGCGTGTGTACTCTTTGGGAAAAGGAAGACGTCGTCGAAAAATATGGATACGCCAGTAGCGAACACATCGTATTGCGCCGGCTCGCCGAAAGCTTTCTTGGTCCCATCGGGCGCTGGGTGCCAGGCCACGATGACTCTAGTACCGAAGATGACTCTAGTACCGAAGAGTAAAGTTTTGTCAAACCGAATCGTACCTGTACCGGTACGTGTCTCATCGAGTCGCGACCACGACGTCTCGCGTCGTCGCCCGCGTCGCTCGCCAGCTCGCCGGCTCGTCCCGGTACTCATGTCTCGAGTCACGAGTCGCCAATAACGGACCGAGACAAAACGCGTCGCCAGTCCGTGCGCCCCGCACACGCGCTCGCGCCGCGCGAACGCCCGCGCGCGATGTCCGCCGCGCGCGCCGCGCCCGCGGTCGCCGCGCGCGCGCGCACGAGCGAACGCGCGTCGTCCGCGCGCGCGGTCCGACGGCCGAGCGTCGTCGATCGACGCCGAAGCGGACGATCGCGCGCGAACGACGCCGCCGCGACGTCGCCGTCGTCGGTGGCGGAGAACGAAGGGTCGGGGGACTCGGCGTGGGTGAGAAACGCACCGACGGTGGTCACGTACACGTTTAACGGTGAAAACGGCGAGGAGTGCGAGACGACGTGGGAAGACGGGTCGCAGGCGAAGTGCGTCGAGGGCGGGCCCGCGAAGCTCGTCGAGGAGGAGTTCCCGCGGAGTGAGGTGGAGCGTTTGCAGAAAAAGACGCTGATCGGGATGTTCATTTCGTACTCTTCGGCGTACTTCGTTCGTAAACCGCTCAGCGTGGTGAAGGCGCCGGTGAAGGAGGCGCTCGGGCTCACGACTGGGACCATGGGACTCATCGATTCTGCGTTCTTGCTGACGTACGCGCTCGGGCAGTTTTTCATGCCGAGCTTGGGAGATAAGATCGGGCCGAAGGCTGTGATCGTGGGTGGCGGTATTATCTCGTTCCTGTGCTGCGTCGCGTTCGGGTACTCCACAGTTCCCGTCGTTCTCATGGGACTATGGGCTGTGAACGGGCTCGCGCAAGCAGCGGCGTATCCTCTGCACGTCAAGGTGTTGAACCCGTGGTTTACCTCGAAAGAACGAGGAACTGCGATGGGAATTTGGGCCACGAGTCAGCAGGTGGGTGCCACCTTGGCCACCTTCTCTGCGGCGTTTCTTTTGAATAAGGTTGGCTGGAAGCTGTCCATCGCCTTGCCAGCGTCCTTCGCCTTGGTCACCGCCGCCTTGGTCGCGGTAATGCAACTCGACCCGCCGTGGCTGCAAACGACGACGTATTCTTCCGAAGCGCTCCAAAAGACGAAAAAGCGCGCTGATATCGAACCGGCGTCCAAACAAGTAGGTTTTATGGAAATACTGGCCATTCCACGTCTGAAGATGCTGATGTTGTCCTACTTCTTCGTCAAGATTGTGCGATACTGTCTATTGTTCTGGCTGCCATTTTACTTATCGAGCGAGTACAATATGCCCGTCGCGATCGCTGGGTATCTTTCTTGCATTTACGATATCGGTGGAGTCTTAGGTGGCTTGGCATGCGGCATTATCGGGGACAAATATTTTGAGAGGAGACGCACCATGCTCGGGGCGTTATCGTGCGCCGGATTGTGCTTTGCCATTGCCGGCTACCAGACGGCGTGTGGCATGGGCATGCTCGCGAACGCCGTTGTCATGGGTTTCATCGGTTTCTTAGTCGCTGGTCCCGACGCCATGCTCGGCTCCACAGCGGTTTCGGACTGCTGCGAGCAGGCAGGTTACGGACAAGAAGTGCTCGGCACGGCTGCGGGCATCGTGAATGGTATGGGTTCTCTGGGTGCCGTGCTTCAGGGTGCACTGACGGCGATGATCGCCGAAACTTACGGATGGGGTGCACTTTTTGTCACCCTCGCGGTTCTCAGCGCACTCTCCGTCGTCACTATGCTCGCGGCTACGAATCCAAAGTTTGTTGACACCGACGAATTGGGAGGCAATAATGCTCCGGGTCAACTCGTCGTTGCGTAATCACCATTCATTTTGGCTCAACTCTTATATGAGCTAAGAATTGTACGTTTAGGTAGTGGCAGCGCGCAAAACTTGCAATTATCTAATGTCTAGGAAGCTAAACGCTAATCACGCGATGAAAGGTCGCTCGTCTACAACAATCGAATCCGGCAACAAGCCCGTCGGGACGTGACAGAAAACCGTCGCTTCGCGAGCCAAGCGGACGGCTGAACGAACCATGCTCTTGTGATCGGCTGAGTGAATCTCCCAATTCGTGGGAGGTTCGCGATCTTTGAGAATGTACGAAGCGTACAGCCGAGAAATCCGTCGGAGCATGCTCGCTACAAATGCGTCGTCGCGTTCGACGCGAAAGACCCGAATACCATACGTCATGCTCTGCATCGCCAATAAAGCTGAACGAGTGTTCGTGCAAATCATCTCCAACTGGACCTGAGCCATGTGATATGCAGGTGGTTTGTCGTAAGGTTCCCGATCGGCGATGACGTATGATCCCGGCATTTCTCTGAACGGTGACGAATTCTTCACCTCAACGGCGAAACGTTCGCCGGAGGCGAGCGTAATCAGACCGTCCGGACTTGCCCCCACAGGCGGCAACGGACCGACGTTCCAGTCACTGGGAATATCCGCAGGATCGAGCATGCACAGCCCGGCTTCGTATACGGTTGATCCTGTGAAGTGGCACATCAACGAGCACAATGTCGACGCTTCCTGCTCGCTCCCCCACGCCAAGCGAATCGCCATCTCTCCGCCTTTGGCTAACGCGCGACAGTACTGTGCGTTCGTAAGCATCGCTGCGTCGTCGCCTACGGCGCGGTTTCTCTTACTATTCCGTTTCTTGCTTTTCCCATTTTTCTTCTTTTTCCCCTTCGACGATTTTGGCGTCGCTGGTTTCACCAGGAGCGACGCCAACATGATATCCATCGCAGACGCCGCGGATCCAACGGACATCGAAGCGTCCGCGGTTATCTCAACGGCCGCGTCGTCCGAGTCGCACTCCGCCGCACTGGCTGCCCTCGCCGCGCTCGCCCGTTCCCGATTAAACGTCTCCGTCGCCTCGGCGTTTGCCCGCGCCGCCTCCGACGCGAGCGCTGCGTCCACGTCATCCACACCCACTCGCTCCCGTCGCAATCGACTCACGACGCTTGAGATTCCACCCCCGTGGCCCCTTGAACTCATTCCGAGCGCGCGTCGATCGCACGCCGGTTCGCAGAACCCGAGCGCGTTCTTCAGCAACCCAGTGGTGAGCCGTCCGTCGTGCAGCGCGTCCCACAGTGCTGTCCCTTGTCGCACGCTGGCGAACGATCGTCGACCAGCGATGACGATGCGAGACTCCTCGGGAAGTCCCACGAACGAGACGCACGAGCGAAGGTCGTCTAGGGCGACGGCGCGCCAGAAGACGTTCGGAACTCGACCGCTCGTTTGTGCGTCGGCGGCGAAGAGACGCGGCGCATCGACGGTGCGGGCGGCGGCGTCCGTGACGGATTCCGAGAGAGACGACGTGGACGCCATCGCACGCGGGCGATGGCGCGGAGGGATGACGCGCGCGGGCGTGTGCGGTGGTCGTCTTTGACGTCTGAGTTACAGGTGCGCGTTTTCGTGAGCGTTTCGCTCACTCGCTAATATTCGTACGCTCGGTGCGCCGGCGGTTGTGTGTAATCGACCTCGCTCGGAGGAGCGTAGGAGTACTCAGACTCGGGGGCGTATGAGTACTCGGATTCGGAGTCGTCGATGTCGCGAAACTGCCCTCCGAAGCGGCCGTATGCGTACGCCTGGCCGAGCTCTGGAAACTCATTAACAAAGCGCTGCTCTGCGGAGACTTTTGCACCGCGCTGCGCATTCATTCGCCTCCACGGGTCCTTGGCTGAGATGACAGGTTCGGGGAGGGCTACCATGCACTGCTTCAACGATCCCAATGCGCCTTCCACGAGGCACTTCTTTTGTCTGAAATGGGTCAGCATGTCGTGGAAGAGCAACTGTTTGTTCAACACCTTGGGGTTGCCGATGATGATGAGCCCGCTTCTCGCGCGCGTGATCGCGACGTTCAAACGTCTCGGATCGCTCAAGAAACCGATGCCAGATTTTTCGTTAGAGCGCACGCAGGTCATGATGATAAAGTCCTTTTCCTTGCCCTGGAAGGAGTCCACACTCGCAACCTGAATGTCCTTATACAGTTGCGGGTGCAACACACCAACGCGCGTCATGTGTTGAACCACGTACGCGCGTTGTCCTTCGTACGGTGTCACAACACCAATGTCTTCTGGACTTACGCCGGAGTTGAGCAGATGCGTCACGCACTTCTCCACTGCTACCGCCTCGGCTCGATTGAGAAATGACGTCCCGCTTGCGCTCATTTCTTCTTGTCCAGTCTGACTCCAAAACATCATAGGCTTCGATGGCACGGGCCAAGGGAAGTCCACGTGTGAGAGCGTTCGATCACTTGCGCTCACACCATTCGATAGTACTCCTTCGTAAAATTTATTGCTCGGAAAGTCTGATAAGCACGGATGCATGCGGTACTGGACCCCCAAACGAATCGGCTTTATCCCAAGCGCAATAAGACGCTCGAACAGCGACTGCGCCAGGCCAGCGGCGTGTGCTTGTTTGCAAGTCACGACCGGTCCGAGCTGACGGTGGTCACCGACCATCACAACGTGCTTCGCACCCATGACGATGGGAATCAAGCACTCTGGCTCGGTGGCTTGCGTTGATTCATCGATGAGCACCATGCGGAAACGGAAGTCTGCGAGTCTCGGATCGCCAGCACCGACTGCAGTGGTGCAAATCACATCGGCATTCTCGAGTATATCTCGTTCTAGTTTCTTTTGCGCGTTTTTATACTTCTTCTCATCTCCGGGACTCAATTCGCCGCACTCATTTTTTAGCGCTTGCAGTTTTTGGAACGCCTTGTGCGTGGCTCCACCGATATTTGCCACCTGATAATGGAGTGTCAAATGCTCCACGGACGAAACTAAGTGTTCCCTACTTCTACTACTGATTCGAACGACCTTCAAACCTGTCTTCTCGATCTTTTCCGCGAGGTGATCCACGGCCACATTCGACGGAGCACAAACAATCACCTGGCCGTTACCACGCTTGGCTAAGTGATACACTATAGTGGCTGACGTCACGGTCTTACCAGTGCCGGGCGGACCTTGCACTAAGCTAAGCGGTCTCTCGAGCACTTCCTTAACCGCATTAAACTGACTGTCGTTTAGCTCTGGTAAGCCCGGCGCGGTCAACTTTGTCCCCTTGGGAACGTCCACGTGTAACTTTTGATCCTCGACTTCGTGGCCAAGAAGTTTGTGGTAAATGTACCCGGAGCACGAAGTTTCATCCACTGCAAACGACTTCAACGCCTGTTGTGCACGTTCATAGCTCGTACCTTTCCACAAAAAGTCCACGCTGTACCCGGTGGAGCTTTCAACGGGTGCGTCCATACCGTACATCTCGACGCCCACTTCCTCTTGCGCCGTGAACTTGATGACGACTCCCTGCCCTTGCCACAGCTGCGGTCCATTCGGCGTCTGCATGAGCAAACGAAGCTGAAGCGAATCACCAAGCGCCACCGAGACCTTTTCTTCATCCGCGCCGAAGCAGAAATACGCAATTTTGCGCTTACTCAACCCGACGTCCCAACGAATCGTGATGTTGTCCTTTGTTTGGTTCTCTCGCTGCGCCTTGTCATAGTCGGCTTCCAGCTTTATCAAAGGCCCGAAAATATTCTGATACTGGTACGCATCCTCGTACTGCAACGCAACTGGTTGATAATCTTCGTTTCCTTCCTGTTTCTCGACATCATCGAGAGTAGCTTCCGGATTGGTCTTCCACAACTCCTCGAGTTTGATCACCTTGGCGGGGCTCACCTGACGCGCACGTAAAATCTCCGACTCCTCGGGCACCTGCACCAGCCACGGCAGGAACACCTTGTCCTGAATCAACGGCTCCCAAAGCGAAATATCTAAATTCAACTCCTTCAATGCCGCCGGATTACTCTGCGCAGCGTCCCGCGTAGCGAGCACGACCACGTTTTCATCCTTGCACGGTATGAACCCAAGGTTGAACACATTTGTCGCCCCTGTGACGTAACACTCCAGCAGCATGTCTCCCAACGGCGAGCTCTCGTGCAATCGCACCTCCTTATTCCTCGACCGCACCAGGTGATAGATCAGGCAGCTCGCCGGTAATCCGTTCGACCGTCCGTTACAGAACCACTTATTCGTCTTCACGCACTGCGCGACACAGGAGGCGTTCGATATCCCGCAGTACGCGCACGCGTGCTCACTCGATCGGTTACCTTCATCTCCGCCGTATACATCGTCTCGATCGTACTCGTCGTCGTCCAAGAGATCGTTCACGAGCGTGTGCTGGTCGATCGAGAGGTGCTCGAAATCCTTATCGAGGGCGTCGCTCGTGGTGTTCGTTTCGTCGTCGCACGCGCGCGCGGCGGCGGTGTACGGGTCATCCTGTTGTGCGTTGTCGTCGTCGAACGCGCGCCAGTCCGCGGACATGTGCTTTAGGGACGAGCGAGGGCGCGGGGTTAACACTGGGGATTCATTCGTGGAGGCTCTGAAGGTTATGCGGTCGACGAGCGGAGACTTGAGAGGTGTAGTGTAAAGTTACAAAATCACTTGGCGTCGTACCAGGTCTTGGCATAATCGCCATCGACCGCGAGTGCGACGTCGAGGAGATTCACGTGTCCCGGGAACGGGTTCTCCATGTGATACTTCGTCAGGGCAAGCGCCTCGTCCTTGTGTTCCTCGGGTCCCTCGAGGATGACTTCGTCGTGAATCTGCATGAGTAGCTTGTATCCGAGCTCTTTCAAGCGCGGACAGCGCTGGATTTGGAGCATCGCTAACATGGCGATATCAGCTGCACCGCCTTGGATCGGGGTGTTGATGGAGGCGCGGAGCGCGTGCGACTTGAAGGCTTCGTTCTTGCTTGACGCGTCGGGTAAATTTCTCACGCGACCGAGCAGGGTGCGAACCAAGTTCTTCTCGACCGCCATTTTCTTTTGAACCTCTTGCCAGTCTCGGACTTCAGGGCGGTCAGAATACCACAACTCGACGGTGTTGGCCGCTTCTTCAAGAGAAGTACCCCAATCCTTCGACAAACCGTGCGCCGTTTTCCCGTATGCGATACTAAAGTTCAACACCTTCGCCTTACGACGTTCGCTCGCGAAGACATCCTTCACAAGAGCGGGACGGTCCTTTTCGTCGACTCCTTCTTCTTGCTCTCCGTATTCAAGAACGACTTCGCCCTTGGCGATCGCATCCTTAATGTTTGAGTACATTCCAAGTGCGGTTCTGCTATGGAAATCGCCTCCCGCCTCAAACGCTTCTTGCATGGACTTGCAACCAGCCATGTGTGCCAGTAGGCGAAGCTCGAGCTGCCCGTAATCCGCGACGACGAGCACATTTCCAGGTCCCGCAGTGAACGCTTTTCGAATACCGTAGCGATCTTTCTCAAGCGCGGGTTGATTCTGCAAGCTCGGACGTCGAGCGGATAGACGTCCGGTCTCAGTGTTGATGTTCAAAGCGCCGTGCACGCGACCTTCTGGCCCACGAATATCATCACCTTGCAGAGGAATGATGAAGTTTGATAGTAACGTGTCGATCGCCGCGACATCATTCAACGCATCGATCGCCGCACATGCTTGTACTCCTTCTTGTCCTCCACCAAACGCATCAAACGCGCCACCGCACGCCTTCTTCAACGCTTCCTCCGACTTTTCCTCATCTGAAAGCGTATCCCAAGCGTCCATGATGGCGCGAGCCGCGCCCGGCTTGCCAGCCAGCGACCGAAGCACGACGCTGCTCACCGCCGGTAAACCTGTTGCGGTGAAAGTTTGCACTGGAATCGGCTTCACAGTGATACCGTGAAGAGCAACTTTCATGGTCTTCTTCGGCGCCTTTCCTTCTCGACCAGCGGCGTCCCATGCGAGCCATTCCGTGGATTCTTGCGTAAACTCGCGCACGAGTTCGACCCCTGGTTTATCACGCCGCTTGTTCTTCGCCCCAGCGAACAGCAGCTGACGAATCTGCAGCCCAGAGCCGACGTTCATTAACTTCGCGCCTTCGCACTTCGCCGAAGCCCAAGTCCTGAAGTATTCCTCGGCAACTCGCTTGTCTTCCAGAGCCATCTTCTCCGCGTTCGCTAGGTGTTCTTTGTCTACGAGCAGCCCATTTCTCTCCATTTGTGTGAGTAAGTTGCCGAACTCGGCGAGATAGAACGTGTAAAAGTCCCAGAGCGTGACGCACTTGCGGTAACCAGGTTTGCTTGCCAAGATTGGACACGCCTCGCAGGACATCCCTCGAAGCTTTGCCTCGAGCGACTCGCGCAGGAACCAAGTTGCCTGAGCGTCGAGAGCTGAATATTCAATCCATTTGTCTCGTTGCTCTACGTCCTCTTGAATTTCTTCGACTGGGGGAAGAATTATCGTCTTACCCGGAGTCCCGTCCTTCTTGAGCTTGGGCTTACCAAAAATCTTCTTCATCCCTCTCTTAGCGCGCATCATCTCCGCCCCCGCGCCCAACATTTCCGCGCAGTCACTCATGACTTCCGCGCTCGATGACAGAGCTTCGAGGCTGTAACCACCGTCGAGACCTCGGTTCGAGTTCCACAAACGGGCCATGTGCATGGTGTCAGCGGCGAAACCGGCGAGTTTGATACCGTGGTGGTTCTCAACCACGTGACGATCAAAGCTGTAGTTGTGCCACACCTTCTTCACATTCGGGTTTTCAAAGTATTCTTTGAACACTTCCCAAACTCCTTCTCCGCCTCGCAGGGTGTCCACCCACAATAAGCTCCGTTTGCTCTCGCCCTCGGGAGCGAAGTTCACGTCAGGTCCACAGAACACAGAAAAGCACGTCACTTGCCCGTGCCCGACGGGCGTCTGATCCGAGACATCGATGTACGCCACTTCCGTGTCACACGCATGATACAGAGGTCGTTTCGCGGTGCCAGCGTTATCGAGTAGAATTTTCAAAACTCGTCTTGCCTCCTCCACCGTCTCCACCGTCTGCACCTCGTCCCGCAGTCCAGTGGCGATTTCCTCGTCCTCGTTCACTTGCGCCTCATCAAGCGCCATCTTGCTCGGCTCCACTCCCTTCGACTTGGATACGTAATCGCTCCCGGCGAGAGCTCGCTTCCAGCTTCCGCCGATCCGTCCGTTGTTTGTCCTATTCGTCGTCGCTAGCCCTTTCTGCCCATTCGACCGCACGAGCACGGCTCCTCGATACTCTCCCGTGAGATCCTCATCGCTGTCTTCGCTGTCGCTATCGTCATTGTAGCCTTCCTCTGCCTCGCCCGCCTCCTGACTCGCTGGAGAAATCGCGTACGCGCGTCTCAAAGACGCGCGCCGTGCGTTTCGCCAGCCGCTCGAACCGCCGCGCGCGCTCGGCGTCTTTGGTTCGATCCCTCGAGCGCGCTCCGAATAGCTTCGAATCGCCCGCTGCTTCGCTCGGACCCCACACGCGCTCGAGCTCGCTCCGTTCGACGCGCTCGCGGCTGTCAAACCGCGCGCGAGCGACATCCCGGTAGAGAATTCGCGACGACAATTCCCACGGAGCGATCGAACCGTGTGCGACGCGAAACCCGTGAGTCTGTGAAGAGCGCTCGGGACGTTCGTTAAGTGCGAGTGATGCGTCGTGAGATTTGTCGCGCTCGTTCGTAGGCCGAACGCGGCACGTCGCATGCAAGCGACGAGAAGTGGGGTTTGTGTGAATGACAGAATTAAATGTTTGATTTCCCGCGTCGACGTCGCCGGCGAGCGGGAGCTAGAGCTGGATGTCGTGGAGCGGTGAAGGGACGACGTGCGGGAAAGATCACGAGTGGAATTGATGTAAGCGAGAACGTAAAGCTTTTATTTTACATGCAGCGGCGAATCCCTGAGCGCGCGGTGCGTTGAGGGACGACTGTGCTCTCGGCGGGGTCCGCTCTCAGAGTTCATCCTTGGTCGTGGCGGACGCGTCCACGGCGTCGGATGGGATCTCGTACGCGACCGATCCGTCGTTTTGTTTCACTCTCTCGATGCTCTGTCGTTTCCCGCGCTTATTCTTCACCTTGCAGTAATTCAGTTGCAGGCAGAGCTTGTGTTGGATCCCAAAATCGAAGCCTTCCTCGACGCTCGACACCGCCTCGTCGATCGCCTCGTCGAACTCTAAGCTATCGCTCACTGCTTGACACGCCTCTCTCAACGTCTTCCTCGCGAACGTGTTCGAGATCAAAGAAAAATTATCGCTCCCCGGCTCTTCGCTCCCCGGCGGTCCGCGATAATGAAACCGCTCGCTCGGCTCCTTGGTGAAGATGCCCAAGCCGAAAACCGTCATTTGTATCATCGAGCTCTCCTCCTGCGTCAGGTTTACCCCCGCTCGATCGAACACCCGCGTGGTATTGATCACATTCGACGCCCCCTTCTCGCTGTAGCCCCACTCGCGCTCGACCACGCCGTTCTCCGCGCACACCTCGTCCACCTCTCGCGAGAGTTTCGTCCGGAACTGCGACACGTACCGCCCCCCGAACGCATCCGTCGTGTCCGCGTCTCGCTTATGTCTCTTCGCCGTGCGCGCGAACGCGTTCCCGATCTCCGACGTCACCGCCTTACACGCCCCGCACTTGATTCCGAACACTAACGAGCGATAGTTGTCCGAGCGCTCGTCCTCAAAGTCGATCATCGGGTCGGCGGACGCAACGACGGTGACGACGTTCACGACGCTCGCGAGGGCGACGGCGACGACGACGACGGCGCGCGCGATGCGGTGCGTCTTGAAACGACGCGGCATCGCGAGGGGGGATGTGCGGGAGGGTTGATGCACTCAACCAACACTAAACGCGCGAACCGGATGACGAGGCGTCGGCGCGCGGCGCCTCGGAGAGAACGTCGGATCGAATCAGCGACGCGATTGTATAAAAAATGTGAATACCGATATTACATTACGAAAGCAGCGGCGGGGGGGTCGCTGGGAAGGGTGGGACGCTCTCGTCGCGCGCGTGCGTCTCCGTGTTGACGCTCGGCACATCCGGTCTGCGAATGCGCATCAAGACAAATCGTCCCTCGAAACGCGTCATGAACTGGCACGCCGCGGCGGCGTCGGCGAGCAATGAGAGTGAGCTGTCTTCATCGGCGACGACGAGGGAGGAGAAGTCGGAGAGATCGCGGGCGATTTCCGTCCACCACGCTTCGGCTTCCGACGGAAGCGTTCGATGCAGATGGCCACCCTGATACTCCTGCGTGTCGTCCTCACCTTTAAAACGCTCAGCGACGGATATCTGCACTCGCAGCCCGCGAGCAAGAAGTGCGATGGCGAATTCGCTCAGCAGACCGGCGTGGCGGCACGCGTTTAAGACCAGTCCGGTCCCTCCCGGTCGAATGCGGCGAGAGAGGCTCGCCGCGAGCGGCGTCGAGTGTTCCTCGCTGTACAACACATCTGTCGCGATGCACACATCATATTCGGCGTCAACGGAGAGTTTGTACTCTTCGATGACCGTCCTTTGCGAGCCCGAGCGCGAGTGCACCCAGTGACGTGCCTCGTTGGACGAACGCGCATCGTCCAGCGAGACGATGCCATCGATGATGTCGGCGTCGTCCCGAAAGTCCAGGAACGCCGCCGTTGCGTTAGGCAACTCCGCAGCGCTTCGTTGAATCGCAGCGAGCGCCCCGGGGGCACCATCTGTGATCGTCGAGCGCTTCGCACCGAGGCTCGCGGCGACGATTCCGCACAAACCGCAACCGGCGCCAATTTCTAGCACCTCCAAATTCCTCACGAGCGCCGGAGCCGCGTCCAAGATCCGCGACATTATTTGCGCGCTCCCCCACACGCGCCACGCCAACCCAGCGTCCTTCCAAGCGCTTTCGTGCACGATAACGACGTTCCCACTCACGGGAAGCGTCACCTCAAGCGTCGACGGCGGTTGTCCAGCGCGCGATCCCACCTGACTTCCCGCCACCGAACGCAACTCCACGCTCCGCTCGCGCTTCGCCAGCTCCCCGCACCGACCCAACGCGCCTCCAACGATCGTCATCGCCTCCTCGTCTCCCTCTCGCATCGCTCGATCGAGCGCTTTCACCAAGAACCTCCGCGCGCCGAGCGCCTCGGCGTGGTTCGCGTACGCGTCGCTCCCCGCCATCTCTTCACACAGCGCCAGCACGCTCCATCGCCGCGCCGCTTCCTCCCGCAACGTCTCCAACGATTCCACCCGCGTCCGCGCGCGCTCGTGCGCCTGCGCGCGCGCGTGTCCACCGTCAGTCGCGCGCGCGCGTCACCGCCGCCGGTTCGTCTTCATCAAAACGCGTCCGAATCATCGTGCGTCCCTCGCTCGCGACCTGCGCGCGCGCGCCCGCGTCCGCCCCCCCCCGCGCGCGTCATCTTCGCCGCGCCTCGCTCGCACCGCGTCGTCGTCGTCGTCGTCGTCGTCGTCGTCGCACGCGGGCATGACGCGATGTGTCGACGCGTGACCCCACGCCGAGCGCGTCTTCACGCATTCCATGCCGCGTCGTCCCCATCGCTCGACGCGCGTCGACGCGCGCGCGACGGACGCCGCGGACGACGACGCGCGCGGTGATGACGTCGTACCCGCGCGTCGCGAGCGCCGGGAGCGATCCGTGGACGAACGTCGATCGTCGACCGCCCGAGACGTACGGCGGCGACGAGGAGACGTGGCGGGCGCGGTGCGAGCTCGCGGCGGCGTATCAGGCGTGCGACGCGCTTGGGTTCAACGAAGGGGTGTGTAATCACCTCACGTGCGTCGTTCCGGGACGACGAGACGCGTTTCTGTGCGCGCCGTACGGGTTGGCGTGGAGCGAGGCGTCGGCGGATAATTTGGTCGTCGTGGACGAGCGCGGGACGATTTTGGAGGGTCAAGGGGAGATCGATGCGACGGCGTTTTTCATTCATCTCGCGATTCACAAGGCTGGGGCGGCGTGCGTGCTGCACACGCACATGCCCAAGGCGAGCGCGTTGTGTTGCGTCGAGCGCTTTGAGTTGGCGATGTGTCACCAGAACTCGTTGCGGTTCGCCGGGGACATCGCGTACGATCCGACTTTTAACGGGTTGGTGTTGGATAACGTCGAGGGCGAGCGCTTGGTCGGGGTGATGAACGGCAAGCGCGTGCTCATGCACAAGCATCACGGCGTCATCGTGTGCGGCGCCTCCGTCGCCGAGGCGTTCGACGACCTCTACTACCTCGAACGCGCGGCGGAGGTGCAAATATTGGCCATGTCAACCGGTTCACCGTTATCCATCGTGAGCGATGACGTCGCGCGACGGTTCAAGCGCGATATGGAGTCCGACGGCGGTAAGGCTCGGTGGGCGCGGCTCCATTTCGAGGCGCGCATGCGCGAGCTCGACCGGGACCCGATTCGCCGCGTCTTCGCCGGCCGTCATCGCCTCACCCAGTGAGTTCTCGCACTGGTAATACGTAGTCCCTGCAAAGAAGCCTCTGAGTACACCGCCGTCACGGGCGACGGCTTGTTGAACGATTTGTCACACAGATACCGCAATCCCTCGGATGCTTGGAAGGACAAGGGAGGGTATCCGACGGGCCTTGCAGCGTGCAAAGACTGGGATAGCGACACACGTCAAGTTCTCAATCTCGGAGGTCTCTACTACGATCTCGCCGGGGACATGCGTCCATCGCTAACCGGATACGAACAAATATACAGCACTCTCGAGCTCGAAGAGGCGCTATCCGGAGACTCGGATGATCCAGCAAACGCCCCCCCCGCCTCGGCGAAATAGACGTCACCTATAGCTCAGCACCATTGTAATAATAACATGACCACGTGTCACCCCTCGATGAGCGCTAACATCGCGTCGACGCGATCAGCCAACGCGACGACGCGACGTACCGCGTCTTTTCGAGCCGCCCGCACGCCGTCGTCCCCAGTCGCGTCGACGCCGTCTAGAAATAACAGCGTCTTCTCTAACGCATCCGACAAACGCGCCAACTGCATCCGCGTCTCGCGCGTGTTCGACCCGAACCGCTCCAACGTCTCTATCTCTCGCTCGTGTTTCACCGCGTCCGCTAAACGCTCGGCGATGACTCCGCGTCGCGCGTCGCGCGCCGTAGAGTCCGCATCCTCGTTCTCGCGTCTTCGCGCTTCGTACGCCGATCGCGCGCTCGCCCGCACCGCTTCCAGTTCCGCCGCCATCGTCCGTCGTCGCGCCTCGGGATTCGCCATCAGAGCGACCCGTAACTCGCCCGCGCGTCCCGCGAGCGCCTCCACCGTCGCGTCCGCGTCCGCCGCCTTCCCGCCCGCGTGCACGCGCGTCTCCTCGCGATCCAGCCCCGCGCGCTCGGCGCACATCGCGTTCAACGCGCGCACCGTCGTGTCCTCCGAGACGTCCAACGCGAATCGTCGCGTCGCGTCGTCGACGTGTTGAAATCCAAACACGTCAACTTTCACTCGCATGATCGCAATCTGATCCACACTGTGCGACGCGTTTCACCGCGCGCGCGGTCACGTCATGCCGACGCACGTCGCGGACGCGCGCTGGCGATCGATCGACGCGGAGGTGCGTCGCGGACGCGCACGACGCGCGCGGATGAATGCGGATGCGAATGTGATTCTTCGCTTCAACGAACTCGACGCGCGACCGACGACTGACGACGCGCGCGCGTAGATCTCGATCGTCGACGCGCGAGAGGTCGCGCGAAAGTTGTGCGCGGACGCGGTGCGCGGGTTGACAGACGCGGAGGCGAAGCGAGAGGCTTTGCGATGGGTCGAAGAGCGCGCGCGGGCGGAGGCGACGCAGGCGCGGGCGCGGGCGACGCTGAGCGCGAACGCGCGAGAGGTGGCGGAACGACGGTTCTCGGAGGCGTTGCGTGAGCGGGATGAAGAGGAGAGGGCGTTACGAGCGATGCACGCGAGGGCGGTGGCGAAGGCTGAGACGGCGATACGAAGGTTGGAGGCGCCGGAGACGCTCGAGCGGTGGCGCGAGCGAAGAGCGGAACGGATTGCGAAGGAGGTCTCGGACGCCGTGGAGTGCGCCGTGGCGTTCGCTTTGGGTGGAGACGCGCTTGAGGTGGCGTGTGGGGGGGTATTTGTGGACGCGTCGAGGAGGGGTGAAGCGGGAAGGTTGGCGCGCGTGGCGCTCGGATACGTCAATCGCGCACTCGAGGCGAGCGAGCGAGTGGGAGACTCGAGCGACAGAGAGACGCGTGCGTACGGTGACGCATCGATAGCGTTGGAGGCGTACTGTCAGGATGTTGAGAACGACTTGCTGGAGCAGTTCTCGAAGGCGCTAGGTAGAAGGGCGTACGCGGAGGCGAAGACTGCTGCCGAGGCGCTTTTCAATTTGAACGGCGGCGTGAGTGTCGTCTCGAGGTTCATCGCGACTCGAGAGATGTTCCTATCCTCCGTCGCCATGGAAGAGATGCAGTCGGTGCGAGACACTGTGGAGCGATCCCTAAGCGCAGAGAGGACGGGAAGCGAATGTGTCGAGCGCGTCGAGCGCTATTTCAACGATATTTGCGCGATGGTGCGGAAAGAGTATCAACAGTCCATAATCACGGCGTTCGGCTTTTCGAACGGCCGCGCAGTGAACGTTTTGAATGTTCTCTTGCGTCGCATCATGGAACAGCGAATCGGCTGCGTGGTCGAGGTCTTCCTGGGCGCCGCGATTCGCAGTACAAACGCGCTTTGCCTGCGCCTCGCGCTCACGGCTACTACTCTTCGCGGGATAAACGAACTGAATCGCATCGTGCGCGAGCTCACGAACGACCATCTGGATCTCGAATTCATCGATTCGGACGCGTTTTTCGGGATCGGGAGCGAGGCACTTCTCGACGACGAGTGTGCGTCGTTGGATGCGGTGCCAAGTGACGACGAGCTGTTTTCCACTTTGTGTCTCAATGTAAGCGACGAATGCGCGATGGATGCGTTTGGTGAGCGTTTCAAGGATGTCTTTCGCCGACTTGAAATGTACATGTCGGAGGATTACATTGGTGGCGCGCAGTTGCGCATCAGCGAAGTGTTCATTGCGCGAGTGACGCGACTTGCGCAAAGAATGCTGCGTGAAACAATTGCCAGTACGAGGGGCGCGAGCGCACGGTTCACATCGTCTACGTCGCGAGATGAATCGCGCTCAGAAGTCTTTGAGCCTCTTTTGCGAGCGATGTCGAACGTGAGCAAATGGTTTCGTCGAACGAGCGATTTCATCGTGTCAGTGACGTCACGGCTCTCGAAAGGCACCGTGAACCAGACGTTGGCCGTTGCGCAAAATCAACTCGCGAACGATCTCTCTGAAGCACTCCAAGTCACAGCGACGCGCGCAGTCGCGCTATTAGATGTGAAGTTCCGCGGGATACAACGCTTGGATGACTTTGCATCCGTTGAAGGTCGTGAGACGACCGCCTGCGCGGCCATCATCGATGTTTTGCGTGGTCTGTCAGCAACCGCGAAAGACTGCCTCGATTCGACGAATGCTGAGTCACTCGTAAACGAAATCGTGGAGCAATTCTACTCCTTACTATTCATGCATGTGTGCCGATTCAAGTACAGCATGCTTGGTGGGATGCAGTTAAAACTTGATTTAAACGCGTACGTCGAATGGGCGCGTCAAGCTGGAGTCAAGCGTGCACTCGTGGTGAAACTCGAGGCATTTTCGTTGAGGACAAATGTCTTGGTCGTCAGCGCCGATGCGGTTGACGTGTTGGTCCAGGAGCTAGAGAGCGATGCAGGGAGCGACGATAGCAAGGTAGAAATCGGCATGTTGAGAGATCTACGAGCGGATTAGCCGCATAGCCTAGAAGTTTGATCTATTTCTAAATCGTGCTATGAAAAAGCCGTCTGTGCCGTGCAAGTGCGGAAGAAGTGAGCGCTCGTGTTCGCGATCTCTTTCGCGTGAAGCGGCAATGAACGCATCGTCAAATGGCAACGGTTCGTAAATATCGGCGAATTCCGACTCGAACGCGCGCACCACTTCGTGGTTCTCAAACGAGAGCACGGAGCACGTCGCGTACACCAGACGTCCACCCGGCTTAACGAGCGCTGCGGCTTCACGAAGAATGCCGAGTTGAATCTTAGCAAGCTCGTTCGGATCGTCGTGCATGTGGCGAAGCGACGGCGTTCGCCGAAGCGCACCGACGCTCGAACACGGAGCGTCGACCAAGACAGCATCGAAAGACTGAGGTGCCAAGTCTTGCAGAGACGTCCCCTGTACTGTTGTCACCATGTCACGCGACCCGGCGCGCTCGGCGTTCGCCTCTAGATGCGCTAATCGTCGACGATCAATGTCGAACACACATACCTCGCCGAATTTCATTTCGGCCGCGATCGCGAGCGTTTTCCCACCGTTACCCGCACACGCGTCGAGAACGCGTTCACCCGCTTTCGCCTCCAGCGCGGCAACTATCAACTGACTACCCTCGTCTTGAACCTCAAACCACCCCTCGCGCCAAGCGTTGACGCCAAATATCCCCCCGTTCGCGGGAGCCCCATTGACTAGCGCAAAGGCGTGCGTTGCGAATCTCGCGGGTGCTATCTTCAACCCGTCCTGTTCCAGTCGCTCTGCGCATTCTTCCACGCTGCATCGAGCGACGTTCGCCCGACACATCACTGGACCCGGCTCGTTCATCGCTCGCGCTAACCTCAGAGCCTCATCATCGCCGTAATCGCGCACAAACATCTCCGCCAATGGCACCGGAATCGCTGAGAGTTCCGATATCTTCATCGCACCATCCGTCGACCACTCGACCGTGTCTTCCTCTGTGGCGGCGGCGCACGCGTCGACGCCATCGCCATACATCCTGAACATCTCCTCCTTCCCCGGCGTCGGCCCGGAGCCGCCGCGATCTCTCAACCAATACGTGAACACCAACGCTCCCGCGGCATCGTTCCTATCGAAACGCCCGTACGTCGCCAGTACATCGCCCGTTTCGCTTCTCAAAGCGCTCGCTCGCTCCGCCGCCAACCGAATCCTCCAAACCTCGCACCCGAGCGCGCATCGCGCGATCGCCCGTCGCTCCTCGTTATTGAGCTCACCTCTGAGCGCCTTTCGCAGCGCTTTCGCGGCGTCCGCGCCGTTCAGCGCCTTGTTTACGACCGTTTCCGCGCGTCGACGAACGACGTCCCAACGAACTGCCTCGTCGTCAACATTCGCACGCGTCGCGCGCGTCGGTGCGAGGACGCGCCGACGACGACCAGGGGCGCTCGAACGCACCGTCCACCGCGCGGTGCGTCGGCCGTCGCGCGCGCGCGCGCGCATGGCGCACTGACGCGTCGTCGCTCGTCGTCGCCAGTTCGCGTCGCTTTTCGACATGGCGACCGCGCACGCGCGGGCGAGCGCGCACCGCGCGGCGATGGCGCTCCTGGCGACGCGACGATGTTTCGCGTCCGCGATCGACCGCTCGATTCCGAGTGTACGCGCGTTCGTCGTCGAGCGCGCGCGCGATGATGTTGATTCGGTCGAACGGGACATCGCCGTCGTCGACGTCTCGCTCGCGTCGAGGAAAACTCTCCCGTCGCCGCTGAACACGTTGCGATCGCGCGATTGGGCCTTGCTCGAGCACGCGGGCGCGGGTGCGTCGTTCGCGAGCGCGCCGGCGAGTTTCGTGACCAGAGACGGCGTGTTGGTCGCGCGGACGGGACCGACGACGACGGCGATCGGACGAGACCGCGCCTTCGTTTTCGATGCCAGATCGAGCGTGGCGAAGAGGACGGCGGAGAAGATCGCGCGGTGGAAAGCGGTCGACGGTGGGAAGGGGGAGTCGTTATCGATTCAGGATTTTCCGACGTTCGCGCTGGAGTGCGCACTGACGGAGAGCTCGAGGTATTACGAAGACAAGTTATTTCGGTTGAGACGGTTGGCAGCTCACAGCATCGATGAGATTTCGGAGGTGTTGCAGCTCGGAAGCGCGCGGGCGTACGCGGCGCCGCCGTTCCAAAAGTTACCGCCGATTCGTAGAGCGGTAAAGGAGTTGGAGGAGGATGTACGACAGTCACTGGAGGCGTTACAGGCGGCGGCGACGACGCCGGGTTTGTTGCCGATACCGAAAGAGCACGGTAGAACGGAGATATCGATTACCGCGGAAGAGATCGAAGAACGGGACGAGGCGGTGACGGATGTATTGTCGTCGCACGCACGTAGGATGGCAGCCGTCGGCGGCCTCATCGCTGAACTCACGTCGGATCTCAACAGCGCGAGAGAGCTGTGGGAGCTCAAGCTCGATGGTGATCGAACGCGTACGGTGCACATGAACCTTCGAGCGACGATAATCGCCACCTCTGCCGCCATGGCTTCGGTGCCGGCGGCGCTTGGTGGGATGAACATTCCGCACGGTTGGGAAGAGGCACCAGTTATGCTCTTTTGGTGCATCAGTGGGGGCATCCTATGCGGGTCCGGTGCAATGTGGTACATGTTCTTGCGTCGAATCGAAGCTGCGGCAAAAATAACCGATTTACACGCCAGCGAACTCGCTTCACTACAGTTCATTCTCAACAACATGGATTCGCTCGAGAACGTCTTCAGTGGCGTCACTCAAAACCAACACTCGGTTACTAAGGAAGCCCTTCGAGACGCGATGGCGCTCGATGCCTCTCGTGACATTGGTACCCCATCGCATGATGAGATCTTAACCACATTATTCAAGGTGTTCGACGTGGATAAGAGCGATCGTATATCAAAAAAGGAGTGGCGTCGCTCGTGATTTCTCGGCACCTCAGAAGAAGCCATGGGGCGATCGAAGAGAACACGCGAGAGCGCGACAGACGCGAGCACGAAGAGCGAGATTACGGAAAGCGATGATCTCATGGCAGCAAAGAAACCATCCGTCGCAGCGTCGACGTACGAGAGAGAGGAGAACACGCTCGTTGAGACGCCGCACACGAACGAGAACGAGAACGATACAGGACATTTGTTTGCTGATCTTTCAGACGCGCTCAACGCGTTCCAAGTGCGATTTGAACATAACGAAGACGCATATGCGTTCACGAGATCGATCAGCGACGCAATGGCGAGGTTGACGCGCGTGCGCGAAGTTCTCGACGAATTCCACGCGGCCGCGCACCAGATAGTAAACGCCGTCGAGGCCGACGTGGAGGCGATGGCGTTCGGTTTGTGCAACGAGACCACGGCACTCGCCGACGTAGTCGAGACGAGTGAGAAGAAAGTTGTGGACGCCAAGTCATGGATCTCACAGCTACATCAGTTCACGAACGTGGAGACAGCTCCCATGTGACTCACGCGCCGAGGCACACGGTCGAGGCGTAGAGCTCTTGCTCGGCGTGTATGATGCGCACGGGTTGCGCGCACGCGACGTCTCTCAACACGCCGCCGAAATTCGACATCACGAGCGCGCTCAGGATACCGAGCGCTCATGGGGATGGTTTTACGAATTGCTTAGCTGCGCGTTGTATTTCATTTCGATATCACCGCTTGGCCACCGTCGTCTTGACTAGGAGACAAGATTTGCTAATATAATGTAATCCCGAGTTGATTTTACACCTCTTCCTTTTTAGAGCTCCGTTTCAGGAATTCGTACACGGACACCATAACCGTTCCCCAGACGGAGACGCTCACCATGCGAGGACGCACGCCGCGAAAGAATCCCAAGGCGCCGTGTTCACGATATATCATCGACGCCGTGCTCGATAAATTCGTTCCCTCCCCTCCTGGCTGACCGCTCAGGACTTGTAAGCGAGTTTTGATCACGTCCAGAGGCGTTGTGAGGAAACCGCTCGACAATCCCGCGCACACGCCGCTCGCAACTTGCACCCCTATAACCTGCGCATCCGTCGTCTTGGCGTCGTCGCGCCAATCCGCGGGCGCCGCATCCCAAAACGTTCGCTTATACGTCCCGTAGAACCCCCACCAAAGCGCGCTTCCTGGAACCAGCGTGGCGACGCTCACGCCGAAGCCTCTGTACAAGCCTCTGACGCCCTCCTTCGCGACTATTTGTCGCACCGCATCTATACCGTTCCTGTACCCCGCGAACGCGACCTCTTCCGCCGCAACAGCCCCTCCACCCTCCACCGCCTTCACAGCCGTCTCCCTCCCGTGTCGCATCCCCTGCACCATCTGCCTCGTCGATATCACATCCACCGGCACCGCGAGCGCCTGTGAAACCAAGCTCGCCGTCGCCCCTCCCGCCGCATCCGCCGCCCCCCTGTACTTATTTGCCACCTCATACGTATCAAACAACGCGTTCGTCTGCGCCTTCACAGCCTCTAACGTGCTCAGGTAGACCACTCGAATCGGTATCGCGCCGACGACGATCGTTCCGAACCCTCTGTACAAACCGCGAATCCCGCGCTCTTTGACAACCTCTCGAACCACCCCAAACGCCGACGTCTGCGTCGCGTTCGCGCTCACCATCTGTCGCGTCTTGATCACGCTCAGCGGGTACAGGGCGAGCGTGACGCCCGAGAAGACGCCGACGCCGGCGCCGAAAAACTTCTTTTTATCCAGCGAGTTCCAATCGACGTCTTCTCTCTTGGAGTGCGCCGTGAACGCCGCGTTCTCGCGCGCCGACGCGGACGTGGAGGGGAACATCACAGTGCGCTCGACGCGCTCGACGCGCTCGACGCGCGACATTTAGAGCGCAGAAGCGGGCGCGACGATTAGTGGGGACTCTTTCGCGACGCGACCAACCGTCGCGCGTACATCGTCTACAGCCTTCGCCCGCGTCACGCGTCTCTACGAACGGTTCCATCGCCCGCGTCGCCGCGATCGCGAAATATGCGCACACCCAACGACCTCAACCCACCCTCGATCGCGACGTGTGGCTTATCGATTCCCACTCGCACGGACGCCGCGCCGTCAAACGTTTGCAGGAGCGTCGTCGCCGTCTCGTGCGCCACCGCCTCGATCGTCGTCCGCGTCGTTCCGCGCTCGACGATCTCCCGGACGATGCCCCACGCCTGGGCGTAATCGATCGTGTCCCGCAGATTGTCGGAGACGCCCACGCGGCGTAAATCGCACGCGATTTCCACGTTGACGAGGAATTTCTGTCCGAGCGCGCGCTCTGGTTCGAGCGCACCGTGCCGAGCGAAGAACTCCATGTCGCGCATCACGATCACGTCGCTCGGTGATGGTTTGGACGTGCTCGCCGATGCGCTGGAGAGGGACCTGGTGAGGGCGCGGATACCGCGAAGAGGAACGCGCGCGGACATCGCGCGGAGGCGGCGTGTGGCGGACGAGACGACAAAGAAACCGCGCTTGTTTGCTGAATTACACGATGACATCGCGCGTCGATGCGATCCATGAGCGAATTGTGATGAGATGTCTCTTTGTTTCGCTCACCGTTTCGGCGATACCTTGTCGTTCACGGCGTTCACGACGCTCCCGACGACGCTTCCGCTCCAGTCGAACTGCATCGCCAAGCCGCTCGGCTGCACCTTGTACTTTTTCACCAACTCCTTGAACTCCTCCGTGCGCGTCGCCAGCGTTAAATCGTCGTCGGACCACATCGCGTTTAAATCGTTGATCGCCCTCGACGCCCCGTACGCTCGCGGATTCGCGTACCCAGCCTTGAAGCAACCCTCGATGGCCAACAGCGCGTTCTCCGCGTCGCCAATCGCGCACCGCGCGCTCGCAATGTTATACAACGCCGCCTGCCGTTCACCGAGCGACAGCTCCGCCGGCTTCGATCGGTCTCTCCGCGTGCCGCTTCCGGAGAGCGTGAGCGCTCGCTCGAACGCCGCGAGCGCTCGCTCGTGCTCACCGGCGGCGAAGAGTTCGCGTCCGTCTTCGATCGCCGAGCTCGCGTCGGACATCTCGACCCAAGATTCACCGACCAAGCGACCGGCGTTCGGTCTGGCGCGGGCGCGGGCACGCGTTGCGCGCGCGCGCGTGATCGGGGGGGTGATCGGGCGCGAGATGGGTGAGAACGTGGACGCGACCATGGTTGGTCGGTCGGTTGAGTAATCGTCGCCAGGCGAGGACTGCGGCGCGAAGACGAGAGGACGCGAGTGGGTGGTACCGCGCCACGACGCGGATCTAGATGTTACAAGTTGGTCTCCTATCTACGAGGAGACGGCGAGCTTGCTCAGGTGCTCCAGGAAGACGCTGAGGGAGATGTCGTCGGTGAAGATGTACTCTCCGCCGCCTTGTTGAGCGCCGTAGCCGTTGGCCGACGTGTTGTGCGTCGCGGAAGGGTTGAGCTTGGCGAGCAAGAATCGAGCTTGGGATCCTCCTTGGTTGCACTCGACGAGGCGCGGCGTCGGACATCGCTCGGCGGCTAACGCTTGGGCGTCGCGCACGGGCGATGCCAGTAGCGCGCGGAACGCCTCGTGTTCCGGTTGATCCTGATATCCCTCTCTGTGCCAACCGGCGATAGTGCTTCCTCGGTGAACGACGATCAAAAAATAGGAATCTAAGAGTAAGATTGTGTCCGGTGTGATCGCGCTCACGTCCAAGAGCACCGGTTGAGGTGCACCGTTGAATGAATAGCTCAACAGAGTCGGCTGAATCATCACCAACGACGTCGTCACCGTCTCACGTGTGAGCATTATGCGGTAGAACGCCGTCTCATCTGGAGAATTGTTCGCCGTTTGTAAGAACTGCGAACGTCGCAGATGGAACATGAACTGCGGATAGATAGACATCGTCGGCGGCATCCTGAAACTATCTGGAGCGTCCCGCTGATATTCGCCAAACTTGGATCCCACTCGAATGAGAGTTCGATCGAGCCATCGCAAGAGATCGAAAGACTCCTCATTTTCCGTCCTAAACGTGGCGATTCTTGCCATGAGCACCGCACACGCCTCCTGATCGAATCCACCCACGATCTCAGGCGCCGAGCTACTCTCCACCCATCTTCTAGCGATCGTTGTAACTCGCAAGCGAATTGTGCCATCGCTCAGCTTGTACCTCGTGCAAAACTGCAGGAAAAACGGCTGACCGTGCGGAATCGGATTGCTATGTTGATTGACGACTTCATAGTACACCGCGATCGTCGTTGATGGCGTGAATGAACACATTCTCCACGACGTGGTTTGTCCGAGACCGATTTCATTTTCGCTGATGCGTTGCGACTTCACCGCCAAAGCGCTAATCGGACCAATAGCACCGCAAACCATGACTTGCGGCGTGCAGAACACGCTGAACGTGCCATTGAATCGCATCTCCAACGCCCCATTTTTAGGATCTCGGGCGAACAGTTTCGCCAGCGACTGCCTAAACGTCTCCGCGCGGAACTGTTCGGCGAGAAACATCACACCACCCGTTTGGTCCACGGCAATCTTCATTTCCGCCAGACCGACCTGATCCAGGGAGCACGCGAATACGTCTAACGTGTGTGAATTCGTGGCTAGTCGAATACCAATCGCGTTGTAGTACTTGCACGCCTCTTTGTAATGCTTGCTCGCATTCTTTTCCAAATCCTGATGAGAGCGCAAGTTTTCACCCATATCTGTCCCCACGACTGTTCCAGGACCCATCGTGCACGGTCCTGAGGTAAACACGAGCACTCGACCTCCCTGCGACGCGTGTGACTCTGCTAATAAACCAGTCGCGATCCCTATCGCCGCACCCAACGCTCGCTGCGGACGCTTCCCTCTCTCACGCTTCTCCTCGTCCAGCGTCACTTCCTCGAGCACGCTCTGTAAAGTGAACTCGCACTCACTCACAGGCGCGATGAAACGCCTCGTGGGTTTAACGTCAGCCGCACCACCCATCGGCGCCGCACCATTCATCCCCACCCGCTGCCGATTGAAATCTAGCCCTAACAT